CTCAATCGAGCGCACACTCTACTCGTAACCGCGAACCGATTCGTCTTCTCAAACATCCAAATTAACACTTCGTCCATTATCTTGTTCCGCCCCAGTTGTAGAATAACATCTATGTATAGCATGCGGAGGCTATTTGTATTTCCGCGTTAGCCGCGCCGCGCGCGTTAAGCACCATACTCGCCTGTGTGCCACGCGTCCGTTTCCTTTAGATATCTGCGAGGGAAGAAAGCATCTCTTAGCCCAGTTCTTTCGCGCGCCAAACATTCATTATGTACTTCGCCCAATATTGCATTCGTCCGCGAAGCTCTCGCATATTAGTGGCATTTTTTCTTTATAAAAATAATCTTTAAAGAGAGAGAGAGAGGGGGGGGGGAGAGAAAGAGCTTGACTTAAACACGACGAAATCATTTCAAATCAATATCGAAATATCCAATGACATCACCACATCGTTTCGCTATACAAGACAAAGATATTTCAGTTCGAGCCAATCGCTTCTTTGTCTAGACAAATAAACAAATAATAATCCTGGCGGGACAAAAGTTGCGTGTTTGTGTTGTGCGACTCGGCAAAGCCTCGAGTCGCACAAAACAACATGAAAGGTCGAATTTAGCAAGATCGCAAGTGAAATGCCAAATAGAAGATAATTTTCATGTTCACCAAAGATTTATATTTTCTCTTACAAAATAATCAGAGAATTACTGTGAACTAACTTTTTCTACAAATTTATAAATTTCCTACAATTCTAAATTCATAAATGCTTTATAAATTTATTTTACTCTTTTATTTCAATTTTGCAAATCTATATATACAGAGTGTCTCATACTCAATGGTACAGCGCTTGTGGGCAGGTAGTGTGGACCAAACTGAATAAAAAAATCCTCTACCATTTTGCGATCTTTGCAATAGTTTTCAAAATATTAATATATAAAGTTCGTCGAATCTGAACGCGCGGCGAGATACGCGCGCCCGCCGCAAACCGCGGTCACCTCCCCCGCGTGCCTAGTTGGCGGCGCGTGGTGGGGGTAACTGATTGTCTAGCGCACGGCAATGGATTACCTCCACCACGCGCCGCCCACTAGGCGCACGGGGGAGATGACTGCGGTCCACGGCGGGCGGGCGTATCTCGCCGCACGTTTAGATTCGACGAGCTTTATATATTAATATCTCGAAAACTATTGCGAAGATCACAAAATGGTAGAGGACTATTTTGTTCAGTTTGATCTACACTACCTGACCACAAGCGCTGAGCAACCATTGAGTACGAGACACCCTGTATATACGGCTCTGCAGCCTAAGGCTATTTTTCCTTTTTTTTTAGTCAGCTCATGCCATAACACGACTTGATTTTTCGAACAATTTTGCTAACTCTTCTATCCTCGTTGCACGTCATTTGCAACATCACTCGCGCGTGTCACGGTTAAGAAAAACTGCAAAGCGCGATTTACACACATATCGGCGCGCGCACGGATTATTATAGTAACTATTTAACGAATTTATAATTTATTATTATTAAAAACTAATTAAAATCTGTGTACCGCGTTGGGAAAATATCTGAGTTAAACGTTAATTCTGCACCGTGTGCCATTAGGTACTGTGACCGCACGCGTAGGTGCGAGGCAATACAGTCGTGAGTTCGTACGTCCGGATCGAGCAGAATTTCGCGTGGCAATCGGAGATACAAGTATTTTACAGATGTTATAACAATGATCCCCGCGGATGTAGGCGGGGTTTGGGCACCAGGCCCGCGTGAGCGAACCACTTTGATATAGTATTCGAGCAATCCGATTCCCGACGAACAGCTCGATAATTCGAAGTAACTCAGATTTTCGCGAAAGGTCCGGACGGGCAAACAACGACGGCGCGGAAGGCCGGCTAACCAGCTCCGACAATGGTAGAGGGACGGTTCGTTGGATTTGAGGCTTCGGAGAGCGACAAGGATAAGAAATAATTACTCCAGACTATAATAATGGTTAAGAGAACATGTATTTCGATAGTCTCGCGGGACGATTGAATACAGGGTGCGAGTATTCTCGCGTGGTATTCGCATGGTGCGCGGGACAGGGGGGCGCAAAGTGCCCGGGGGATGAATGTTCCGGCGCCGATCCTTAGCGGACTAACGCCAAGATGTCTGTACGATTCGCGGAAGGTCGCGGTCGGGATAAGGGACACGGGTGTGCGTCGGATGGCGGTCTAGGGTGACGAGAACCGAGCGAACTTTAAGCAATCACGCGATACTTCGCGGCGGAGCCGTGCCACGCCTCGCGGGTATTACTCCGCGGTGCGCAACTAGTCCTCTCACGCACGAGGCTGAGGATCTGCAATCGCTTTTCGCTAGCGGTACAATGAGTTGCTATCGTTTGGTTCCATCTTCCGACCGTATTTACGAGTTGATATAATTCCCCGAGACACTTCTGACTCCCGATATACGACTGGCGCAACGACGGCGACTGGCGCACGGGCGCACGCGGCTCACGCGTTCGCGGTGTGCAAGGGCACATGGTCCGAGATCTACGGCGAAATTTGCTTCTCGCGACACGAGGAAGTTAAACGCTCACGACATAGAATTCACATCACGGTACGCGGGGATTCTAATACCCGACACACACGGAACGGCAGGACGGACGCTCTCGCGACTTACAATTACG